ACCGTCCTTAAATCAAAACTCTCTGATGTTAAAGTTCGTTGATCTTTCATCATAAGTTCATTATGTTAACATTAAATAATGATGTAATTAGACTCTTCACATCCTCAATGAATCCATTACAATATCTCATTTACTGTTTTTTTATGAAGGGATAGTACATATAAACGTATACGGATACGGTATTGGGTAAAACTGAGTTAAGTACCGGATACGATATTGAATAGAACTGAGTTAAGTATATTAGTCCAGCCCTCAAAAACCATTCCCATTTCTCATGTGGAAAAATTGAAAAAATTAATTGCCCACCCCTGTTATATCCTCTCCGGGTGGAAAAATGTTTAGGAATGAACAGTTCTGTAATTCTCTAACTTGGGTAACAAATGATCTGAATGCAGTTTCAAAGGTCTAAAGGTCAACCAATCTTTTGCAATCGCTTTGACCATTTTGTATGGTTATTTCATTATGGAAGCACTGTTGATTGTAGAAGCACTCAGTCTTCATAAGACGAGAAATTTTTTTACTTTTTATAGCTATCAAGTACCATAAAATCAATTAATTATTGATTCTCTTCCAAAGTACTTGAAAAGAGAGAATGAGAATGTCATATATTCATCGTATTCTAAATACGAATAATTCACTTTTGATATTTTACTAATTGCATTGAATATTATGAAGTATGGGTCATTCATTAATTGTGGAAGAAAAAAATGACGCTAGTAACTGAGTGACAACTCAGGCGACAAACTAAAAAAAAAGGTCATTACAGGAACTTGTCTTTGACAACTGTGCAACAGGTTCCCCATGAACGATCAGGACAACATCGGCATAGCTCAGATGTTAGCATACTTCAGCAACAGTTGCAGCAGCTTCGACTTGAATACGAATCTACCGTACCATTGTAGCAGATTGTCACGGTTCTTCAACTTATGTTTATTTTAAGATTTTTTTTTTTAAGACTGGCAATGCATATATAGCAGGATTTTGCGCGGCATGCCATATCTTTAATTTTTAGTCTGGGGATTTCGTTTATCTTGATTTCTCACCAACCGAGACGGTCGATCATACCAAATTTGCTCAAAGATCCGATCCCCAGCAAAGTCAATAATTTTGTACAAAATATCAAAATCCCAGCCAAGATATTTGGAAGAAATTTTAATGATATAATGAAGCACGTAATGAGTGAATGTTTTGTAATACTTATGTCATGCATTCCGGGGAATATTATCGTAGAGACTTTATGATGTTAATCATACTTCACAAGATTTTGAATATACTAAAGTGGAAATGTACAAATTAAAGAACATAAAAATTAAGCTATCCATAGAGAGGAAAGCCATATTCAGAAAAAGGAGTCTGGGATTTTAATAACATCGAAAAGTACTATGGATTGATTGATCTCTGTGAATAAAATTAAACTGCAAATTCACTTAAACTCAAAATGAAGATATAAATCTTTGTAAGTTATAATTATTTTCACTTCCTTTATAGAAGAAAGAATTTTCTCATTAAGGAATTGAAAGTGCTTTTCGAGAAGTGAGACAAAGCTCAACGGTCAACAGAACAAGTAACGCTTTAGTAACTAAATTTAATCAATTTTTGGAAGAGGTCTGATACCACTTTTACCAAATTCGGAATTTCCCAGTAACCTGTTAAACGTTATCGCCAGATCCATTACATGCATACCGCTTGTTCGAAACAACAACTTCTTGCCATCATCTGTGAAAAAAACGCTTATCTCTTTTCAGTTCAGAAGGTTTAAAAATTTGACAGCAAACGGTCATGAAGTTTTCATTTCTATATAAAAAAAAAGAAAACAGTAATTGAAGATTTACATTTACAATAGATCCGCTCTTTCGCTTACAGCACTTACTTAAATTTGCACACATATAAGGTGCTTGGCGATCATTCCTTATATTGCAATCTATTTTCGTTAATGGATTTGTCCTTCGAACATACGGTGAACTGATAAGAAACCAAAAGCTCCTGAAAGTTCATATTTAGATTTATACGTAATAACATTAAGCGCATAATACCCAGTGTAGACAAAAATACACCTGTTCATTTCACTCGTGCACTTCAATCGCTGTAAAAACGCTTAGAAGTTTGAAAACAAATTCCCTGACAAACTCGAAATTTTAGAATAAATAAACTGTTTGTTTGCAGCTGTTTAAATTTTATATTAAAACCCCAAAGTTTTCTAGGAAATGGAAAAAAAATGGATATAATATATCACCTTAAGGAATGACAATCATGATAGAACGGATCAAATGAAAAGTGAATTGATTTCACTTTTTTCAAGTCGACTCCTCGTATGGCTAGCGCTGTCCTTTCAGCAGTACGCCATCTAGCACCGAAACGTATTCTCTCCCACATCTTACACATTCTGCTGATATAAATTTGAGCTCAAGATGAACTCTAATTCTGGTACCACTTCAGCATTACCTCGTCATTTAGTAAACAGTTTAATTAGACAAGCGAAACTATCAGACTCGAGACAATGCCTTAACGGAATATGAACTTTCATGATAATAAAATGAATGGATTCTAAAAATAAGGTGGAAGCTTTGTTTCAAAATTTAATATACCATAAGTATTTTCCTGGTTTACAATAATCTCCGCCCATTATTCGTTTCACTCCACCTATTTACACTAACCGATAAAATGCCAATCAGATAAGAACAATAAACATAAATGTATTTAGAAAATACGCAAATCATAAAGGGAAATTTGAGAAACTCAAACAAAACTTTAATCGAATTTTGGCGATAGTTATACAAAATAAACATAAAAGCATCACTGCTTCTTCCACTGCGAAACCAACTGGTATATCCGTTCCAAATTGTCAGACATCTGCTCGACTGTCTCGTTTTGCAATTCGTAAACGATTCTTTCCTTAAAAAGATAGAATTTGAAGTCTTCTTCAAAAAAAAAAAGTTGTGGTTAGAATCTTACTGAAAAATATCAAAAGACTATTTCAACAAAAAAATTTAAATGAATAACTTCCAAAAATGGACTGCACAGCCTCATTCCACATCCACTCTCCGCCATCATATTGTCTGTGCATTGATTTATTTATTATGAACTTGCTTCCAAAGTTTCAATAATTTGCTCTCAATTGTTGTTGTGATAAATTTTTCTGGATTATAGTAACCCTTTTGCTCTTTATTCCAGTAACAGAAACAACAAATAACGAAGTTATAAATCAGGATAATTTATACATTAAACAAATAGAAAAGTCAAGCAGTAAACTGAGCTAAATAGAGTATTTATATTTGTGTTTTCTGAAAACAGTAAAAGTGCAACAGAGCAAAAGGAGATGAAAAAGAAAGGAATTTTCAAACGCAATAAATATGGTTTTACAGCAGCTGCTTGGCTAAAGCCAAACTAGAAATAGAGAGTTAAATTATTGAATACCGGATTCTTGAAACCAAACTAAATCTAGTTCTTTCAGAAGTATTAATCACTAAGAGAATTCAAAAAAAAAAAAGAAAGAAACTAACATCATACGATTCTTTAGCTTCTTCCACTAGTGATCCGAATATTTCACATTCAATATTTTCCTGAATTTTCTTCCTGCTATAACCTCGAGCAGAAAGTCGGTCGTAGAGAAGCGTATTGTTACATCGTAAAACAAATACAAAATCGAACCATCTTTCCGGGAAGAAGTCAGAACCATGATAATCCACTATGTATCCTCCACTTTCCGAATTCATTCTATCCTAAAATATAATAATGGAAAATTCGTGTAGAACTGTTGAAGGTAAATTCATAATGATAACAAATCAAAGCAGAGGCAATGGAAATGAAACTATGATGACAGAGAGTAACAAAATACAATTTCGAAAATTTATGCTTTTCATATTCAAAAGAACTTCGATAAGAAAGCACAATTACGGTTCCCATGCTTATGTTGACTTCCTTTACTAACTACACATTTTCTACTTATTGCAGATGAGTGAAACGGATTCCAGTTCTTAAAAGCTCTGTTGGTTATCGCAACATACGAAATACTTCGGTAACAAAACGATCTTGGCAAGCGCCATTTTCAGAGTGAAGACTACTTTGTCGATAAAAAATTTATTAATAAAACTGAAAAAACCATTTTGGTGATTCCATACGAACAAAACCAATCTAAGCAGAAAACAGAAGCATTAAGGCATGAAAAAGCACATACTTCAATATGATCCAAGAACTTGTCTTCATCAAGCACATGACTGTCGAACTCCTCATCATATTCCAAATATAAATTATTTTCAGTGATTTCTTTACTACAGTTGATATATTCAAAACCTAAAATTTTGAATGTAATTACTCAGCGAACAAGCGATAAATACGCTGTTCCTCATGTCACATAAACGATGAACACGTATTCAGCTTTAATAATTTAGATCTTTGCAAGATTACTTTTGAGTTCTACAATGCGAGTATCGTACGTACTGCTATCGGAGCTAGCTGAGCAAAATCATATCCTCCCTCTCTCAGTACGATTCAATAAAAATTACAAAAAAAAAAGTGTGGAGAATTACTTCTTTAATCAATATCCTATCTGTTAATTTCGTGCTCACATAATACTGAAGACTAGTCCAAATTTACAACAGAATTTTACTGGTATGATAAAAATGGTGATGATTCATAAAATCAAAACTTACCTAATTTTTCAGACAATGTTTCACATAGCGTTGTTTTTCCTGTACCAGGCGTCCCAGTTATAAGTAAATTTGGCTTTTGACGAGTTTCAGATGTGGACATTACAACTACTGTTCGAAAAGTGGATCAAAATAAACGTATAGTCCAGAGATAACAAATCTGTAACACTTATAAACTGTCTCAATCGTGGAAATCAAAAAGTTAAACTGCTTCAAACGAAACACAATTTCACGGCATTATATCTCCTCAGATAACACAAAATATACTCTTTCGAACAGCAAGATTCATCTTGATGGAAAGTCGGAAAGTATGACTTTCCACCAAATAAATTATGGAATAGAAATTCGGGTATCGAAAGCATCCAAATATTATACATCAAGCTTCGAAAAGATATAAATCGGAGTATCAATCATTTTAGGACTACTGAATCAATTAAATTTAGCATAATTTAACATATATTAATGAAACCTTAAATCACTATTTGAAATATTACTTCAAGTTATTAATGTCACTGAGGAAATTATGCTAGGTTGTAATAAAGGATGACTGAATTTTAGCAAAATAAATTCCAAACCAAAAAAAAAGTCCTCGCAATGGTTACAATACCTCAAATCAAAAGTAAAAAGCAATCCTAATGATAGGTTTATTTGAGAAGTAGTCAATCAACAATTAAATAATGAGTGCGCATATACAACATGAATTAGCAAAGAAATCTAAAAAATTTAAAAAGCTCTTTACAACAGATTTTCTGTGTAATGACAAAACAAATAAATTATGAGTAAATAGGGCCGAAATGCCCATATATGATCATAAGAAACTCCGATTTCCCAAAAGTTCTAAAATTACTTAAGTAATCATATAAAACTGAAGTAAATGCCGAGTGGAATAATAGAGATGTAAACATAAAAATAATAAAACTTTTGAAAAATCGGCTTTTCTTCAGAAGTAAATATGAGTAATATGGGTATATGCAAAATCTTGGAAAAATCCGAACTAGAAGTGATGAAAAAATTGAAAAGCAAAAGAGAACTAAAGTCCAACTTTGCCAAGTCTTTTATCAGTTTTCGGATCAGCTGTTAATTCTTGCACTGCAACGATGGCTTCATTAATCTTTGTCTGAACTTCACGTAAATTCTCCAGATGAATTAATCGTAAAGCTCGTATGGTAGCATCGATGGTACCATTCTTGCTAGATATCATGCCCATATCAAAACGGCTCAACGCCATTGTTTTCTGTGAAAAAAACTGAAGTTAAAGTTTGTATAGAAATGAATTTATTATTAATCAGTACTGCAGTAATCAAATGAAGGAATAAAATTGCAAGTAATTACGTATGTAAGCCAATCAAGTAAACTGATTAATTGACCAATCGTTTAGTAAGTGAATTGATAAAATTAAAGATCTGTTGTCCCTAATCTCCTCATTGAATGTTGGACCTTACCTTATGAGTCTGTGCCTCTTTGTTCGCTACCTGGATTGCTCCATCAGAAAGATTGTTCGTAATAAACTGAAATAAAGAAATTAATCTTAAAACTTTGTATTATCTCTGCCCTGTTACCTATTTACCGAACTTATTGGAAAAGTAGAAAAAAGATATACCTTACAACAAGCTTTCAGTACAACTAAAGGATCTGTATGTGACGTTATCCCCAAAGTAATTCTGAGATCTTCCATACCTTTCCTCGATTCTTTTGTAGAAACTGAAAAAAACGACGGAAAAAATGGTTCAGGAAAAATTAAGCTAGAAAACAAATGTTCCCATCACATCTAGTCTAAAAGAACAGATCTTGTAACAAGCAAGTGTAATATCCGTGTGATAATATGTAATAACGGAAAATAAATGGGAATCAAAAAAGATATCGTGATGTAACAATATTGTAAAAATTAAGCAATTGCAAAATCGAAGGAAGCTGTGCTCCAAAGACACAGGAAAATGAATTGTTTTAATATATTTCGTTAATCCTACTTGGAAATGGTTTCAAAGCTTATGAAATTATATCAAACTTACAATCGATAGAACTAAGAGGATCTTTAGCTTTCTGTTGTTTTTCTTTCTCGGCCTTCCACAATTCGTATTTCTCTGCGGTAAGGTCTTTCGCTTCAGCTATAAAAATATTTAGTGGAGATTAAATTTAATTATTAGAAAAGACTGCATAATTAGCATCCGTCGATTTGGCGCAAGTTACATGAGACATATGGATTTTTTTAATGCGGCTCCGTTTAAATATTAAGTTCAAGTCTCGTATGCTCGAAATATTTCTAAAAAAATCTAAAACATTAACAAAAGAAAAAGGAAAACATCCTAAAACCATTCCCAGGTCTTCGCTTAAAGGTCGCAGAGCGCCACTCCGAAACGTCTCAGGATTAAAAGTAATAATAACAAACATAACGGAATAATGAAATAATTCAACTGCTAATCACTTGAAAATTTTTACGAATTGTTTTTACGAATTGATGCTAGTTTAACACTTACCAATCTGCTGATAAGAAGAATCTATCGCACGGACAAGAAGCCAGTCGATTATTTCTTGAGCTGAGTCTTTATTACAAGAAAACGGACATTTCAAATCGGCCAAATACTATACTGAGCAAAATGATGAAATTATGAGAAATGGCAGCGAAAATTATCAAAAATCCCAAACAGAGGCTCAAGTAAAATCTCAATTTCGATTTGATTTATTTTGTGGCATTTCCTTTACTAGACGTTCCACCCATCAATGTTAGTTTCACCCAGAACGAAATCCAAACGATTGCTAACAAAAGCAATCGTTTTGGCTTAAAGATTAATCGAACAATTTTAATTTCGTATTTCAATTTTCAAATAACTTAATTTAAAGAAAACAGAGGTACCTTCGAGTAAGATTTATTCCATACTTCAATATCTGATGACTGCAACCCAACTCTATCCTCAATTTTATATAATCTGATATGCTGGTGTTCCAGAAATAATATTAATTCTTGTAATTGTTCGGAGTCTGCAATATATCAAAAGTATTCTATTACATATCTTTGGCTAATGTTCAAAATAGTCTCATAATCAGCATACTGAATTCGAAGAAAAAGGAAGAAATTACTTTCGCAGTCAATCGTACCCGTAGGATATCCAAGCAAAAGCAATTTCCTCTGCGACATACTGACCAAAATGGCTCTGGAAAAATAGGGAGTCAAGATTAAACAGTGAAACAGCCTGGGTTATGTCAATTTTCCACTTCACCTCAATAATCAGTCAGTTGAAGGGAAATGAGAAACAAATGAAATCAATTTTGTAATAATGTATTCTTTCCATTCTATGAAATGTACACGATTATTCTGTTTAGAGAACAACAAGATAAAGAGCAAAACACAAAGAACAGAGAACTTTTATTCAATCCATCAGTATTCTGGTCCTAATATTTCAGTCAACAAAATTAGAATCTATACATAAGTTCCAATCTTAACGCTGGAAATATTATTCCAACTTTTAGAAATAAAATAATTTCTTGTTCAATTTGAGAGAAAAAGGAATGGTAAGAGATAGGAAATCCAAAACTTTGACAATTAAAAACGAGTATTGCTTTCAAGCAATTTAAACTACTTACGCTACACACCATGATACTACCAATATCAATAATTCTCCCTATCACAGAATCAAAATTCTGTCGAAAAATACCTTCTTTATACAGATCAAAAAAAAACTGTTTAAGAATTTGACACAGCGTTAAAAAATCTTGATAATATTGAGAGATTATAAATATCCACATTACGATAAATGCAGAAAAGTTTCTTTCTTTGAGAGATTATCTTGTTATTACAATTTCTTAAACACTCAAATTCTTACAATTTTTTTTTTGTTCACTCTGTGCTCATTAAAATATATCCATCCAATATTATTACACGAAGATTCGTTCAGAAAGAAGACTCGTCCCAAACCAGATCACTAATCTAGGACGATATTAGCAAGATTGCTTAACAACAGAATGGACAGATCAACAGATTCACTTGAAAAAAATATCAGAAAATACATTTTGGAAAAGCACGAAAAATTAATTTGCTTCGACAAGATTATTGACAAATTTCTCGTTATAATCCCAGTATTTTTTTCGTATCGGATCCAGCTCTTTTAGTTCTTGGAGCACTTGCACTGCTTGCGCGGCACTGTCCTGAAATTACAAAAACTCGTTTATTCACAAATCCATTTAAGCCGCTCCTTCATGGCTTATGCTACTACTCAGATGCTATATCAAAATATTTTTTCAATCATAAGCACTTCAACTTGAATTCAGATTTACAATATCTATTCTGGAATAACCCACACCAAATCAAAACTTACTTCTACTTCCATTTTCTTCTCAATCCTTTCTATTAATATATCCACCATGAAACTAAGACAAAGCGGCACACGTTTTTGTTCGCTTAATTCAAGGCAAAATTGCATTACATCCGCTCGAGAAGAGACTCCTTTCTGAAAATTTGGATCACCAAGAATTGGGATGCATAATATGAAACATTTAAAGATCGTTTTATTTGCAAATATATACCAAACTATATACCAAACATGCTTCTGTTTTTAGTGACACCCATTAAGGCCCTACGTTTTGCAAAATTTCGTTAGAATCAAGCTCTATCTATAACTAAATAGATATTAGTCACATGTTATCCCTAATATTGCACGTTACCCTTAATTTACGAAGTTCATCCTTTTGAAACAGTCTCATTCAAGCAAAAAAGGAAGAAACAATTTTCTAAAACAGACGTCAAAGATAAGGTGTATTTAAAACGAATGGTGCTTACACTTTAGAACTTGGTATATCAGTAATTTTAAAATATCGGTCAAAATAAAAACATACATCCAACAATATTCCAGACAAGAAATTCCATGCACTCTCATTGCTTGGAATTTTTTTGATCATAGACTGAGTCATTGAAATTTCTCGATTCAAAACACTAGGATCCTTAAAATGGTAAAAAAATTAGGACATTTCAACTGAAGTAAACCATTTGAAATGTAAACATAACAAAATGGGATTTTTTTTAAATGACTAAATAAGGTAATTATAGTGGGTAGTTAGGCAGCTTCTACCAGTAAATCTGAAGGTGGTTGAAATTTTTGAGGGGAAAATTTAAAATTAACTGCCTTTAATGAACCCAATCCTTGCAGTATAAAGTAGCGGTAGTTCCATGCTGAATTATTACGCATGTCTTCGATCAAAAGTCCTGCGCTGTAATCCAACTCTTGCTGACTGAATAATTTGAATTTTTCAACGACCCACTGACGATGCTGCCAAGAGTGATAGTTTTTGGCTTCATCTTCAATCATTCTCGCCGTGAAATCAAGCTCTCGACTGGCATCATTGGTCCATTCCACCAATGTTCGACGATGATGCCAAACTTAACAATATCAATTATCCATAAACAAATGTGATATAAAGTTAAAAATCGTACAGCCATAGGTGAAAATATTATGTACCATTTGTTTTGTTCATTCCACTGTTCGACGACATATACAATATGTATATATACATGTATATATATATATATATATATATATATATATATATATATATATATATATATATATATATACTATA